ATCAACTTTCATTAGGTGACTTCCCCACCCACAATCAGGAAAAATGGTTAGTGTAACTGGTTGTTCATAAAAATCAAGGCTCTACTATAAGTATGTATTGCAGAAAATATAATCTCAATAAATATTTGGGAAAGAGTATTGATGTATTAGAGAGACAAAGTGGGTGAGGTAGTGTCTTATTGAGCCAGTTTCTGTGGCGGAGGGAGATAAGCTTTTGTGCTTACACAAAGCTCTTCAGGTCACCGAAGAACCTTCAGGCTCTGAAGAAGAGTTTTGAGTAAGTCCAAAGGCTTGTCTCTCTCACCAACAGAAACTGGCCCAATAAGGGACACTACCTCACCCACTTTGTCTCTAATGCCCTGGGACCAGCACAGCTACAACTGTGTTAATAAAATACATATTGGAAGAGAATACTGTAGATTTTCCTGTATTGTTGGAGAGATCAGTCTGATTAATTCATTGAAAATAGTTCAATTGTCATATTCTATCCCCAAATTTACTGCACAAATTCTTAGTAACTTTTCCTTTTGTACTTCAGTGTGGGTTGTGTAAGGAGAGGAAGCAGGACAGATACAGAACAGTTTATGCTTCCTCACTGTACCCTTCTAACATACCTCTCCCATCTTCTGGAGGAGCAATCCCCAGGTGAGTTTGAGGGAAGGAGACATTTTGATTTGACTAAGGGAAATTGGTGTGTGGAAAAACTGATTGCAGGGAAAAGTTGATTGTAATGAATGTCAAGTAGAATTGAGTCACACTGGAAGAAAATGAACTGATTATGTATGTTGAGGCAGGTACACTGATTTTTATTCTGGATGGAAAATTGATTCTCATTAATTATACATTTTGGTGTGTCTACAGGTGCAGAAAATTGAGAGAGGGTGGCAAATTGCTATTGAATGTGGTGAGGAAAATAGACTATTAAGTGCCACATCCCATCTGCTGCCAGTAGATTCCCTTGGTGGGAGGGAAAATGTGTCCTGCTGTCTGGACTGATTTGTGATTGAGTGCCTACTTCAGGGCAGACTGAGGGCACACCCCAAACTCATGGTATGGTCTATAACTAGATTTCACTAACCCAGTAACAAATGTGAACTCCTGAAGCACTGTACCAGTCTTACCAAGGAGTCACAGACAATCCCCTTGGGCATTCTAGTCTATCTTTCCACCCAGGCAAGCTGGGCCTACTTATAGTTGGTGCTATACACCAAAGATTCAGGCTGCTTCCAGTCCCAAGGGATCAGCTCAATTTGTACCTCAGATCTCACAGCAAAGACGACATTTGTAGCCAATCCTATAATAAATCCTTAGTTAACTAAACTAGGAAGAACTTAGTGTTATTTACAGGTTAAAGCAGGCAACATGTATACACTAGTTAGTCTATGGTTTTAAAAGGTGACAGAATAGTAGTAATGTGTGTTAACCCAGGTTAACCCTAGGGATCTCTGCTTCTGTTTCACAGACCCAGCCCTGTGAGAGTCTAAAACAGCAAAGAGAAAGTTCTCTCTTGTCCCTGATTTATCCCCTTCTTCCAGCATTCAAGCTGATGGGATGAGCTTTTTTGCAAGTCGCACCTTCATGGGTGTGAGAGGGTTGTTAACCAAATCTTTGTTTAGTGATGTTGCACAATGGCCCATTTAATTTGGAGAGTCCTTCTTGATGGGCTGAGGACCATTCCTCCTGACTGGGTTCACAGGGCAAGCATTTTTATAGTTATAAAGCAAAATTTACATATCACCTTATAGTATGTTATACATGTAAAATTAATGTGTGCAGCAACTTACAAACATTCCATAGAGTCTAAATGCTAAACACTCTTATACCTATCTTGAACAATACTAACATGCAGAGGAGCTGGTCTGGTATCCAGCTATGAATTTGTCAGTGCTCAGCTGACTCCTACAGCTTTGGCAAGAGCTGGAACCTGGTCTGCCAGCACCACAATCATCTATGAAGGTTCTACACCCAGTTTGCTGACAGATTTCCTTGGTGAGAAGAGAAGTGATTATGAGATGGTCTCAATGCAAAAAGGAGTCCCCACTATGAAAATTTAGGTAGCTCTGTGCCTGTGTGTAGGAGACAGAAAGAAAAACTAATTAGGAATTGACAAGTTCCAGAAGGGATACCATTTCCTCTATTTTTGTAACGCAGTAGTTATCCCACAAGAGAATAAACTAATCCTAGAGTCTGTTGTCCAACAGGCAGCCCGCTTTTCCTATTCATTGGGGGTCATGCAGCATCCTCAGCTCACAGACCCCTTTGCTCACACAGCTGGTAAGAGCCATCTGGGCAGGGGGACCTGGCTCCGTGGCTGGCAGAGGCCTTAGGGAGCAGCTACTGCAGGGGGAGCCCTCCCAGTGCACAGCCCCTCCCTGCACAGAGCCCCTAGCTATTCCCTGCCTGCACCCTGAACTGTTTTCAAACTTTTTGAACTGAGCCCCCCCTCACCTTTGAGTTATAGTTGTGGCCTGCTGAGGTGAGTTGGCAAGGAGGTGACCTCCATACCTGACCAGCCATGCAGAGTTGGCTCGACCCATAAGTGCCGACTCTGTGGGTGCTCTGGGACTGGAGCACCCACAGGGAAAAATTAGTGGCCAATCCCCCCACTGCACCTCACCTCCTCCTCCCCTGAGCATGCCATGTCCCCGCTTTTCTGCCTACCTCCCAGTGCTTTCCGCCTTGCTGCTACCAAACAGCTGTTTGGCCGTGTACTTGGAGCGGGGGGGGGGCAGGGGGGAGGGAAGAGGAGTGGGAAAGTGGCATGCTCAGGGGAGGTGGTGCCCAAGAGGCAGGGCCAGGGCGGGGATTTGGGGAAGGAGTTGGAATAGGGGCAGGGAGGGGAGGTGGAAACTTTGGGGGAAGGGGTTGGAATGGGGGCAGGGCAGGGGTTGAGTCAGGGCTTCTGCTCCCACTGGTGGGAGCAGAAGTCAGCACCTATGCACCCCTGCCCACCCAAAACAGAAGTCAAAATACACCTATGCCTGAGGCCCCACCCCCCAGCCCAGAGCTCTGAGGTTCCCCCCAGTCCCACAGGGCCCTGGAGTTTTTGTAGCATGTTGTAGGAGGGCCTCAGAAAAAAAAAATTAAGAACCCCTGAAATAGAAGGCAAATTGTGGGTCAAGAAAGAGAAAAAGGGCAGAAAAGGTGGAAGTCCAAAAAGTAAAAAGACAGTATGGTCCAAAATGCTAAAATCCCAATCTCCAATCAATTCTACATGCTCAAACTCCTGTGCCCTGGTACACCCCACTGACTTTGTTGTGGCGTCACATTGACAAAAATAATTCACCTTCCAAGACTGCAGCTTAACAGCTTAGAACCTAATGGTGCAATGACCTTGATTTCCCACCATGTCCCCAGCACCAGTGGGGATGATACAGGGGTCTGCCTGCACCAGCTGGCTGGTGGGTCAAGGCTGTAGCAGTCCTGGACAATGCAGTAGTGCCAACTCTGTTTTTATTGCAACTCCAGTGACTTTGGGGGCATTTTTCACCTGTCTCATGAAAACATGAGAAAAGGTTGTCAACTAACAAATCTCCTTTTACTGTTCATGGGGTTGAAGCCAGCAAAATGGCTACTATTTCCCACAGTCTACCTGCATGTGTAAGTGAGACTGGCCTTAATAAAGTTGCCTGCCACCTCCCATTGTTTTCAGTGGCAGTGAAGCCATGTCCATAGGCAAAATGACTGTCACTACTCTACAGTCGGAGAGTCTAGACAGGAGACTGGCACTATGGAAACAGAGGGGGTCTCCATTCACTGCCCCTGTTTTGAGCGCCAACTCTGCAGCTCCCATTGGCCAGGAACTGCAGCCAATAGGAGCTGTGGGGGTGGTGCCAGTAGGCAGGGCAGCACGCAGAACTCCCTGCCCTGCCCAGGGGCTGCAAGGATGTGCCAGCTGCTTCCAGGAGCAGCACAGGGCCAGGGCAGGGAGACAGCCTGCCTTAGCCCCGCTGTGCAGCTGCCCAGGAGCTATCAGAGATAAGTACTGCCCAGACAGAACCCACACCCCTTATCCCCTCCCTCTCCCCAACCACCTGCCCCTGTTCTGAGCCCCCTCTCAGAGCCAGTACCCCTTGCCCCCTCCTGCACCCCAACCCCCTACCCTAGCCGAGTGAGAGCGCGAGCAATGGCAGGAGGGGTGCTGGCATGAGCAGCGCAGGGCATTGGAGAAGGGGCGGGGACTCGGGAAAGGGGTGGGGCAAGGGTGTTTGGGTTTGTGGGATTAGCCAGTTGGCAATCCTACCTACTGCGGTTTAGCCGTCTTAGTCTGTATCCGCAAAAGCAGGAGTACTTGTGGCACCTTAGAGGCTAACAAATTAGAGCTGTCGCCCACGAAAGCTTATGCTCTAATAAATTTGTTAAGTCTAAGGTGCCACAAGAACTCCTGTTCTTTCTACCTATTGCGCTTGCGAACACTGCACTGACCAGAGAAAGGAAACCTTCAGGCGCGCCCCTCCGCCCCGCTCCCGCCTCCCAGCGCCTCCTGGCTGCAGCCCCGGCCCCTCAGACTCCCTCACGCGCGAGAAGGTCCAGCTCGCGGGTCGCCCGGGGCCTGCCAGAGGTTGTCCGCCGCGGGAGACGAGATCCACCTGTGCGCATGCCCAGGGCGGCCTCCGTCTGAGTGCGGAACGTTTGTTCGCTGCTCAGTGCGGCCACCCGGACGGGAATCACCGCTGCGCCTCCAGCGCGCGGCTCTGGGGACTCGGGTTCTTTCCGGCGCTGGCGGCGGCTGCTCGGAGGTGAGGCGTGAGCAGGGCCGGTGTGTGCTGCCGCCCCCACGCTGGGCTCTTCCTCTTACCCTCGTTTTAGAGGGCGGCTCCGCGCAGCGGGGCGGGGGGTGCCGCCTCGGCGGGCCCCTCTGCAGCGCGCGTGGTGAGTAGGGTCCCGGCTGGGGCTGGGGCTGGGGCGCCGAGACAGGGCCCACCTCGCCCTGCTGTAATTGGTCTCTGGCCGCGGCTACGACAGGTGATTGGAGAGGAGCGCTGTCAGTCACCCCCAGCGCTGGGTCTGGGAACAGGCGCCGGCCCCAGGCCATGGCTGCGCCGGGCAGGGGGCCGCGGGGAGGCCGCCCCACGGGCGCCAGAGCCGCAGCCCGGGCAGAGTGCAGCGATCCCCGCGCGAGTGCCGGGGAAGGGCCAGCAGCCTTCAGCCTCCCCGCCTGGAGGGGCCCTGAGGCTGCGGGGTGGGAAGGGCCAGCAGTCCCTTGCCGTGGTGCCTGCGTGGGCTTCGCTGAGGCGGGTGTGGGGCCAGGCCAGCGGCTCCCGCTCTTGGCGCTGCGTCAGATTTTATGCCCGTCTGTAGTTACTTGGGGAATACTTCCGTTGTTTCAGGTGTTCTTCAAAGCCCGGGCACCTCCTCTCGCCTGGAGGATCAGGCTTGACAGCAACGTCCTGTGTGCCTGTCTGCCAGGGAGGCCGCCTCCTCTAAACTCAACTCTCACCCTCCTGGCAGCCACAGGAGGGCCTTTCAGAAAATGATCACTTATTTGAATCCTGGATACAAATTGATGGAAAGAGGCCACAAGGAAAAGTAAGCAGCTATATAGCTGATTAAAGTGAGTGCACATTCTTTGTTAGAAAGGGTTATGGTATTGGTTCTGAATTTATAAGTGTATAGAATAAAACCATATTGGTATCTATAATTTCTCTCTCAAACTGTGGGAAATTAGAAAAGAGAATTCTGAGTTTTGCCCGAGTTATTGCCATTTTTGTTCCATTTAGTAGTTTAACTCCCTTAATTTAGGGCTTATCTACATTTAGTGCTGATGCTGTACAACTGTAGCACTTCAGTATAGAGACTGTGTACAATAAGTCAACAGGAAGAGTTCTCCTGTCAGCACTGGTAATTCACCTCTGAGAGGGTGTAGGTAGGCCAACAGAAGAATTCTTCTGTAGATTTAGTACTGGCCACACAAGTGCTTAGGTTGGATTAGTCTAACTGCATCGCTCAGGGGTGTGAATTTTTCACACTGTGTGCGACATAGCTGGGTCCATCTGATTTTTCAAGTGTGATGCTTTCAAATACAAAAGTATCTTGTTTTGTTGGTGGTCAATGTTAAATACAAGATGGCATCGATGCCATTTACTGTTATTTTAACCAGACTGGGTAACTAAATATTTCACACTTCTTACTGTTCTCAGGTGAGACAAGTGGGTGAGAATGTTATTGAACCAACTTCTATTCATGAGACAGACAAGCTTTTGAGTTTACACAGTTCATGTTTGTGTAAGCTCCTTTCACAAACAGAAGTTGGTTCAATAAAAAGATATTGCCTCACCCACCTTGTCTCTAATCCTGGGATCAACACAGCTACACCAACAACATTGCATGCTCTTGTGAGTCACTTAGAGCCTATTTAACCATCCTACCATAAGACTCAACAAAATGAGTCACTTAATTGTTTTATTCTACCACATACATGCTTTGAAGAAAGAGAGCTCATATGTTATTGAGCATGAGAAAGGGAGTGGGGAAAAAGAAGAGAGATTAGCTGACATGACAGTTTTCAGCTTCATGAATGAAGATTTGTATATGCATCTTTCTGTGCATCATGATATTACATTAAAGAAATTAGCTGACAAAGTTGGGAGGAGGCAGGAATAGTTCTCATTTTATAGATATCTAGTTTTCATATAAATTCACAATTTGATTCTCACCTTTTGCTGTACACAGGATCAGATTTGTAGGTGCATAGAGATCTCTTTAATATTGGAGAGAGAAATACTACCAGAAATCGTCTGTGTGAGATTTTAACTTCCCAAGTAATAAATTGGAAAACAAATGCTGTTAATAATGGTCAGGCCTAGTTATTTGTGGGTATAACAGACCAGATTTCTTCAGCAAATAGTCACTTAACAGGAGGTAATGCTGTTTTGGACTTGCTTTAGTGAGTAGAGATGACATTATAGAAGAGCTGGTCATAAAAAAATAAACCTTGGATCAGGTGATAGCTAGTTGACTCAGTGTAAATTAAATGGGAGAATAGTCAAAACTAGGTTGTAACTAAGGTTTTTGATTTAAAAGGGCAGATTTTGGGAAATTAAGGGAACTAGATAGTAAAGTAATCTGGACTGAAGAGCTCAGGGACTTAAATGTGGAAGCTTAGTTTTTGCATCTTTGCTTTAAGAAATTCCATCTGGAATTTGCATCGCGGGGGGGAGAGGAGAGAAGACTTGCATTTTATTCCTTTGTTTACCTCCATGTAACATGGGTTTGTCAAGTTTGGTTAGTCTGGCAACATCTGATACCTTTGATTAGATAATGGATATGTTTAGACAAGGGAAATGCAGGAGACCTAATCTGTCTGTAAAGTGTTTCAGTAAAGTATTTGACAGAGTCCACACATGAAAAATAAAAATACAGATGATGGGGATTAGTACAAGATCTGTAACTATAAAGAACTGACTATTACAGAGTATGACAGGGCCACCCACCTCTAATGAGCACCTCCATCAGGTGGGTGCAGATGTGTGCTCGCTACATGCAGTGTCCCTGTTTACAGTAAACCTTGATAGGCAGGTCTTCAGGGGCTCACCACTCCAGCTAAGCTATGCATAGTCTACATGTCTGACCACACAAACAGAAAGCTCTAACAGGGCCAATCACAGCGTCTTTGGAATGTATTGAGCCCTGTCTCTAGGCTCAGTTTTCAGCCCTTTCTGGGCTAGCCTAAAATCTGTTCCTGCTCTGTTGTAGAGTAGTGACCCCATGGCCTTCTCCCTGGAGATGGAGTCCTGACCTTCACTGGGGCCTCTAAGCAACATTTGTCCCCTTCTCAAGGCTTTGGCCACTCTACCAGTGGCCAGACCTGGGCCCACCCACTACTCCAGGTCATGACCCAAGGAGCCTGTAAAAAGCAACTACTTACTGCTTTCTGTAGTAGATGCTGCTACTGTTCCCTGGGCTGCTTCCTACACACTTCACTTTGACCTCAGGACTGACACTCCCACAGCCAGCAAAGAGCACCTTCCTCACCTCCCAGGTCCCAGCAAGCAACTGATCTGTTCAGGCCCTGCAGCTCCTTTTAACTGGGCCTGCTGTGTGCTGATTGGCCACTTTACTGCAGCTTCTGTAGGCAGCCATGGAGGACCCACCTTTGCTGCTCCTTTTCTGGGGGGAAGTGTAGTAGGACAGCAAGGCCTCCAGCAGGGGGCCTCAAAGGTCCTGGTATACCCCATCACAGGGAGACAGGGTTATGCTGAAAGGAGAGCTATCTATCTGGAGGGAGATTACTAGTGAAGTTCCTTGAGGATCTATTTGGGGACCAATCTTTAATATTCATTAGTGACCATGGCACAAAAAGTAGAAGTGTGCTAATGAAATTTGCTAATGACACAAAGTTGGGAGGCATCTGTACAGAGGAGGACTGAACTATTATATATGAGGAATTGGGTGATATAGAGAATTGGAGTAATAGAAATTGGATGAAATTTAATAATACAAAGTGCAGGCTCATGCACTTAGGGAATAACAAGAATTCCTGCTTTAAACTTGGGGCTCAGCCGTTGGAAACAAGAGAGGAGAAAGACCCACATGCATTAGTTGATCACAAGATGAGTATGAACTACCAGTATAATGTGGCTGTGAAAAAGTCAAATATGATTCTACAATAACATGTGAGCTATTTCCAATAGAGGAATACATAAAGTACTAATGCTATTGTGCAAGGCATTGGTAAGATCTCAGCTGGAATTCTGTGTACAATTCTGGTCACCCATGTTCAAGAAAAATGATTTAAAACTGGAAAAGGCGCAGAGGAGGACTACTAAGATAATCAGGGAAATGGAGAGCCTATTTTACTAGGCTTGGGTTGTTTAGCGTAGCAAAATTTAGGCTGAGAGGGAATATGATTGTTAACTCTAAATACATCAAGGTGGCAATCACCATGGAGGGAGAAGAGCTATTTAAGGCAAAGGACAATGTCAGCACAAGCATAGAAGGGTATAAACTAGCCATGAATAAATTTAGGCTGGATATTAGAAGGAGGTTTCTAACCATCAGAGGAGTGAGGTTCTGGAACAGCTTTCCAGTAGGTGTAGAGGGGGAAACAAGCTACCTAGTTTTAAGGTGGAGCTTGATAAATTTAAAGTACGGAATTGTCTGACTGGATTGTCTATGATAGTAGAGGACTGGACTCAGTGACCAAGAATGTCCCTTCCTGTGCTATGTATGTTGTTTGGTGGTTGTTTTGGATTATAAACCTTTTGCGTCTGATTAAGCCTTTGTATAGCAGTACTTGCCAGACAATAATTAGCATGGAAGAAGGTGCAAAGACAATTGTGGGAGAAGCAGACATGATGGGCTAGTGAGAGCTAGCATCAGTGCAAGTGTGGAAACTTGGGTGAATGTGAAAAGAAATAAGATAAGTGGGGGGGGGCGGAACTCTGAAGGACCTTGATAACAAGAAGTTTGAATTTAACATTGTGAACAAAAGGGAGCCCACGGAGGAACTTACAGCCCAATCCAACTCCTGTTAAAGTCAGTGGGAGAGACCTTTCTTAGTGGAAGTTGGATCTGGCGAAGTGGTGACATGGTCAGGAAGATTGACTTAGCAGCTATGTTTTGAACAGATTGAAAGGGGCAATGTGTATCGTTTAAGAGGATGCAATAAGCAAGGTGGGGAAGATGAGGGCCTGGACTAAAATTTTGGTTGTGGATATAAATAAGGTGTTTAATCATAAAAATATTATGGAGAAAGAAACAACAAAATTTGGCCACAGCCTGGATGAAGGAAAGAGAAGTCAGTGATGACTCCAAGCTTATGGGTGTGAATGATAGAAGGGATGGTATTTCTGTCAAAAGAGACAGCTAATAGGGGCTCAATGGGCAGTGTTTGACTGGGGGAGAAAGAAATTCCATTTGACCATTTTTAGTTTAAGTTGATGAGATATCCAGGAAGGGATGTTAGAGAGACAAGCTGAGATGCAGGATTGAATAAAGAGAGACAGGTCAATGGGAAGGTAAATTTGGAAGTGATTGGAAAGACAGTTAGCTGAAGCCCTCGGGGCAAATAAAATTACCCAAGAAAAGAGTGTAAAGTGAAGAGACAAAGGATGGGACAATAAATGACCCTCCACCAGGGATTGTGAGAAGGGGATATTAATTAACCTGTAACCAGTAAAAATGATTTCCTGTCTTTCTTGGCAGCAGAAGGAACAAAGAGTGTGTGTGAGAATCCAGTCTTTCCTCTCTGATTCTGAGCTTGACATAGTTATGCATCCATTTGTCAGTCTGCAGTTTGGATGAGAGACTTGAAAGAAAAACCTAAAAACACTATCAGAAGTGAAGCAATTCCCCAGCATGGTGCTATGGGTCTTATATTGCTGGAAGTGGCATCCCTTAGATGTGCTGTAAAACTGCAGTCCTAACTATTTGTCATTAAAGATCGAATGGCTAGTACTCTTCTCTATAGTAATAACTCTGTTATCTCATCAGAATTCTATGCTGGGTAATTACATTTGATTTACCAAAATTTCCCATGCTATTTCACCTTACTCCCAAACCACTGCTGTGATTCACCTCAGAGTGGCTCTATTGCAGTGAGAGGAAGGAAACAAACTTTTGTGTTTATTTCTTTATATTTTTAAGGTATTCTTATAAGGCTAAGAATAAAACAGTAATTGTTTGATTTATCTTTAAGAAGTTGGTATGTTAACTTATTTGTCTTTTCACCGAGAGGGTGACTTTCATTATTGTTTTAAACAGCCAAAAAGCAAAATATTTGCCCAATAAACTCTTTGTTGGTGAATTGACCTGGCAAATAGGGACATACAACTTAGTTTATGTCGAGTTCATATTAACAGGTAAACTAGTTTAAATGAGAAACCGAGCAACTGATAACCTGGAGTTATACTTCACAGTACTGATCTTTGGTTTTGTTCAGAACAGCCTGTTTATCTCAGCATGGATCGATCTAGGTCTCGTTTGCGGGGAGGTGATGAACAAGCCTCTCCCCTAGAACACAGTCATGGTGAAGAGGAGAGACAGTGGCAGCAGGAGCGCCTTAGCAGAGAAGAGGCCTATTACCAATTCATTAATGAACTCAGTGATGAAGACTACAGGTTAATGAGAGACCACAATCTTTTTGGCACTCCTGGTAAGATATGGATGGCTACAGCAGATGAGACAGTACACCGGTATAAATGAGGAGTGGTGTTATGCCAGTGTAACTGAAAGTACAATTTGGTCTGTGTGTCTGGGGAATGACTGAAGAGTGAGATTTTTTTTCTTTTAAAGTTGATGGCCTCTCTCTTAAAAAACAAACAATTTTAAATGGATATTAAAGCTTGAGAAACAAAAATTCATCCTCCCAGCATAATGTTTAGATTTATAATATGCATCCAAGTTACAACCTCTGGGCACACATACAATAATTAAAATATTCATTTACAAATATCGTACTTAAAGTACACCTTGTATAGAAGAGAATTTCTTCAGCGTCTGAATTCTTAGAACATACTGATGCTAATAGGTTGGCAGGTTATAATGACATGCAGTCTTCTGCTTAGATACATGTAGCCTCTTTATTTCTGGTGCCTACTTTTTATTGTATTGTCTGTATTTGTATTGATTGTAATTTTATAATCATGCTGATGTCTCTCCAATGTCTTACTGTTTTTACTTTATTTCTGAAAATTGTCAGTAACAAAAGAAATATAGGAAACTATTTCATTGTTATGCTTGTATAAACAAGAAATATGCAAACGTTTTTGAGACAATCAAAATATCTTACTGAAAGGCTGAGGGCATATATTACCTAAATATGTGAACTATTTCAGGAGAAATAACAGCAGAAGAGCTACAGCAACGTCTAGAGGGGGCAAAGGAGCATCTAGCATCCCAAACTGATGTAGAAAATAGGGAAGGTGAAGGAGAAACTGCTGGAGGTAAGCTTTCTTTATTTACTTCTATAGATAAAGCATTAAATTTTTCTGTATATTAAAATACTGGTCTGTTCAAGTGACATCCATACTAAGTCTGTTTCTTCTTTGTTCTATGTAGCTCTTTTTCTCCAAGTAGCAAAATGAATAGAGTTTATATCCTAATGATGTGAAAGTAAATTAACTTATAGTACTTCACAATAACTGATTTAGATTTGCAACAAATTACTTACCCTGACCATTCTCCTTCAAAAAGCAATAGTTGCACAGAAATAATTTACTTATTTGTTTCTGCCTCTGAAAAATAAGGCTAGATTAAGCTATTTTCTTATTTATTATAGAAGTTGGCAAAACAGCTAACATAAGAAGAGAAGTGATAGCCATCTGAAAAACTAAAGTTAATCTTTTAAAAAAACAACAACAACAAACTTTCCCTTCTTTAGAACAAGGTAAATTCTGTGTTGAAATTAATATTAGCTCCCTAGATAGATGTTTAGTCAAAAAAGACTATCAATAGTTAAGTGGATATTCCCAAATTAATGGCCCAAAATTTGATTAACTTCTTCCCTTCATGAATCTGACTGGGCCAAAATCTTGTTCCATTTGTATAGGGACGAGGGGTTTCATTTTTCAGAGTGGGGAATCATTTTTTTTTCTGTAAACAAAATCCTGCCAAAACTTAACATCCCTCTCTGTGGGCAGGAAGGAAACCTGTACATATAAGTGGGTGGAGAAAAGAGTTGGGCAGGGAAACAGACTTAATTTCCCAGAGTCCAAGGGATAATTCTAAGTAGTCAGTAAAAATGTGGCACTTTAAAATTGAAATATTTTGTCTGTGTCTTTATTAACCATTGAGAGAAAGCTGAATGATTAGCCAGTTTTTCTTGATGAGGACTGTAATGTAGTGGCTTCAGTTGTAGTAGTATTTCTAGTGTTGTAGCAGCCAGGAGCCCCACTCATGGATTTAGAATCCCATTGTGCTAGGCACTGTACAAATGCTTAATAAAACAATAGACCAGGGGTAGGCAACCTATGGCACATGTGCCAAAGGCGGCACGCAAGCTGATTTTCAGTGGCACTCACACTGCCTGGGTCCTGGCCACTGGTCCGGGGGGATCTGCATTTTAATTTAATTTTAAATGAAGCTTCTTAAACATTTTAAAAACTTTATTTACTTTACATACAACAATAGTTTAGTTATATATTATAGACTTATAGAAAGAGACCTTCTAAAAACATTAAAATGTTTTACTGGCACACAAAACCTTAAATTAGAGTGAATAAATGAAGACTTGGTACACCACTTCTGAAAGGTTGCCGACCCCTGCAATAGACAATCTAAAAGTAAGAGAAGACAACAGGTAGAATCAAACAAATGAGGAAGGATAAAGAAAGAGTAGTATATAATACATAATAGGCATCTCAGCATACCAGCTACCTAGCAGCTCTCAAGTAGAATAAATTCACATAATCAGAAGACAAATGCTTATTGACTCCATCCCTACAGCATATGAATGCTTTCCAAATTAAACTGAAAATAAGTGTCTTTATTTCATCCCAGCATGCAGGAGAAATACCTTGATTGAGTCATTATGTGTAACAGGTTGGGAAAGCAAAGTCATAGATGTTGTGGGGCATATATCTTTCATGTATGCTTTTCATATACTTGAGAGCCAAACTAAATCAGACCATTAGTCCTTGTAATCCAGAGTTTTTGTTTCTGACCGTGGCTAGTATTCAGTACTTTAGAGGAAGATGCAAGAAAGTTCGTACTACCCAGTTATTAAGTAACCTGTCCAGGTGGAAACTTTTTTTCCTAACCCCAGACAGTTAGTGGCTGGCCTGTGCCTTGAACCATGAAGATTTATACTTCATACATTTTCATCCTGTATTATGACTGGATATGATGACTTAATCAACAGCTAAGTGATATCTTAGTTTAATTAAACTATTTGCAATGAATTGTTTTGTTTATATTTATAGCCAAGATCTTATGAAACTGAAAATCAGTTAATCATATTTGACTATCTGTATATAATCCCCAGTGCACTTGTGTGGGCTTGATGATTCCATTTGACTTCTTCCCCCACTTTTTAAAACAATTTAATCCAGTGGTACCAGAGGAAACTTTTCCTCTTGCGTCCCCCCACCAGAAGTAATGGAATGTGCCTGTGTCCCCCGTGCCATGTGTGCAGTCACAGCCTGGTCAGGGTCTGTGGCCAGGAGTGGGAGTGGAGGACTAGCGGCCAGGAGTGGGGGCCGGGGCAGGGCGGAGCTGGGGGCAGAGCAGGGCTGGGTGGTGCTCCCTCCTCCATAGGGTCAGGCCCAGGCCCCGCTGCACCCCTTGGACGTTCCTCCATGCCCTCTAGGAGGGCGTGCCCCACAGTTTGGGGACCACTTGTTTAATCAGTGGGAATGGGTGCATTGGGAACTCTTCTTTATAGCACTGCAGACATACGAAAATCGAGCAAATGGAAACCTTCTTGGTAAAGCAGAAAGTATAGTGCCTTTTTCTCCTTATCCATAATTACAACTTGGACTTAAAAAATGCTACAAATAAATCCAGTGTGGAGTATCTATATGGATCTCATTTAAATCTTCAGAGGCTTCAGAAGCTGTTGAAAACCATGATTACATTGCAACTTCAGCATCATATGAATGGAATTAGAATCCATTATGTGACATCTAATAATTACTACACCTTTTGTAAATCACTAAAATCCTGGTCTCCTTTAGTTACCTTTTTTCAGCTTGGAGGTTGATCAGTTGGGGAGGGTTCAGAGAAGAGTCATGAGAATGATTAAAGGATTAGAAAACATGCCCTTCAAATTGCTCAGTCCATTTAGTTTACCAATGAGAAAGCTAAGGGATGACTTGATTACAGTCTATAAGTACCTACACAGGGAACAAATATTTGATAATGGGCTTTTCAGTCTAGTAGAGAAAGATATAAGGTGAGCCAATGGCTGGAAGTTGAAGCTGGATAAATTCAGACTGGAAATAAGGCATAAATTTTTAACAGTGTGGGTAGTTAGCCATTGGTACAATTTACAAAGGGTTGTGGTGGATTCTCAATCACTGGCAATTTTTAAATCAAGATTGGATTTTTTCTAAAATATATGTTCTAAAAATATTTTGGGGGAATTCTATGGTTTGTGTTAAACAGGTGGTCCAACTAGATGATCATAATGGCCCCTTCTGACCTTCAGAATCTATTAAATCTTTGCCACAAATCTCACATACTACTGAAACAATTATCAGAGGAGTAGCCATGTTAGTCTGGATCTGTAAAAGCGGCAAAGAGTCCTGTGGAACCTTACAGATTAACAGATGTGTTGGAGCATAAGCTTTCGTGGGTGAATACCCACTTCGTTGGATGCATGAAACAATGTAAATCAAGAAGAAAGCTTTAAAAAGGCTTGTAGGTAATCTGTGGTTTAGAGTGCATCATGATATGCAAAATGTGTAAATTAGAGTTCTTTATCTGCTTTTTACAGATTCAGAGGTTCTTGGGGAAAATTCAAATGGTGACTCTCTGCTAGAGTGGCTGAACACATTTCGTCGCACAGGAAATGCTACCCGCAGTGGACAGAGTGGGAACCAAACTTGGAGAGCTGTGAGTCGGACAAATCCAAATAGCGGGGAATTCCGGTTTAGTCTTGAAATCAACATAAATCATGAACATAATAGTTTTGAAGCTTCTAGTGATGAATATATGGACATTTCACACTTGGATACTAGCACAATGCATATGGACAATCGACATCAAAGAGCAGTCAGTCCTATAGCTACACGAACTAGGAGCAGGACATCAAGAGATTCTCATGGTGAAACTTCTAACACTGCAAGAACCAGAACTGTGAGAAATTCTGTGGTACAAAGTGCTGAAGAAACCTCTTCTCCTGTCTTGGGAAGGCTCAGAAGAAGAACTAGGGAGTCAACAGGCCTTTACAGAACAAGAAGCACAGCACATAATATTTCTTCAGATACTGGTGAACACAGTGTTGTTAGGCGAAGAGAAATACAAGAAACAGTCACATCCACTGATCTCCAGAGAGGTAGAGCTAGAGCTAATGTTCAGATGAGTACAAGACAAAGACTAGGAATTCTAAGGTTAAGATCTACCTTGAGTAGTCGAAGCCGTTCTCCATTGCAAAGACAAGATGGCTCTACTAATTCTGAGGAGCAAAGTCTGAGGCAAAGTAGGAATTTACAGCAAATCTCTAGAAGGTCTACTAGGAGATATACAGCTCAGCCTCCCTCTGAGCCAGATGAACAAACAGTAGGTAGCACACAGACGCCACAATTTTTTAGTTCAGCCCCAACATTAGGAATAACATTGGAAGAGGATGAATCTAGTAGATCAACAGCTGCAGTTAGAAGACATCCAACTATTACACTAGATCTTCAGGTAAGAAGAATTCGTCCTGGGGAAAATAGAGATAGGGAGAGTATTGCTAGTAGAACACGCTCTAGAGTGGGAATAGCAGAAAACACAGTTACTTTCGAAAGTGATAGTGGTGGATTTCGCCGTACAATTTCCCGATCAGAACGTGCAGGTATACGAACCTACGTTAGCACTATACGGATCCCTCTTCGTAGAATTTCAGAAACTGGTGTTGGTGAACCTTCATCAGTGGCTCTTCGATCAATTCTAAGGCAAATTATGACTGGTTTTGGAGAACTAAGCTCCTTAATGGAGACTGAATCAAATTCAGAAATTCAGAGGGGCAGTCAGCACTTATTAGATATACAATCAGAGTTGAATAACTCTCACACAGTAAATGATGATAGTGAATTAAGTGAGACTTCAGTTAGGCATAGATATGTTGAAGAAGGTAGTAGTGAAACAAATGGAGAGAATGATGGGACTCAACATTATAGTCTCAATAATGAAAATCGGGAAAGCAGACAGTCTCAAGAGGCAAACAACTTGGTTGAAAATGGAACACTGCCCATTCTTCGTCTTGCACATTTCTTCTTGCTAAATGAAGATGATGACGACGAGCACTTGAGAGGTTTAACCAAAGAGCAGATTGACAATCTGTCTACCCGGAACTATGGGGACAGCCACACAGAGAGTGAAATAAGTAAAACATGTAGTGTTTGTATCAACGAATATGTAACCGGGAACAAGCTAAGGCAGTTACCATGCATGCATGAGTTTCATGTTCATTGTATTGATCGCTGGCTTTCTGAAAATTCTACTTGCCCAATTTGTCGGCAGCCTGTATTAGGGACTAACACAGCAGACAATGGATAAAGTTATTTATATTGTTTAGTATTCAATGAATTGCTATATTTATGGTGAGCCAAATAGGATGAATTATAATTTGGATAAAGGTACATTTGTGTGGAGATTTTTGTTTGACTTGTTTAAAGATACAATATAGGAAAGTTGCCTAAACTTAGTGTAAATACTATGTTTCTCCTTCCAAAGCGCAGATCTAGTAGTATGTGTAGAGCCAAATGGTCTTAATAAAATTTATATTTTTTTAGGTAATATTTTTATGCTAAGCACTTTTGTATATATAGAAATGTAATAGTTAATCAGTCCTGCTAAATGTATGTTTGTTTTTAACAGTGGACTCACTTTATTTAGATTACACATAGTTTCACACAGGCTTGCTACTGTGTTGAGAAATTGGTGTCTAAATAGCCATTCATTAGCTTTTTGTTCTAAGAACAATTTCTTTTACAGAAGGATATCTTGCTGGACATGTTTGCTAAAGATATTTAAGTTACTTGAAATGCTCAATTTAATACACAGTATATTTTTTTAATATTGAAATATCCTTTCTGAAAACCTGCAAGTTTGGTTCTATTTAAGCTTCTTTATAGCAATTTTTGCATGTGGTTTTACACAATGCTTAATGTTGACAAGTTCTTATTTGAAAGTGGATTGGATTAGTGACATTTTGAAATGTACATAATTCTATGCAGTGTCTCTGACAGTTGTTGTCTTCCAACAGACAGCAGTCAGATCAGTCAAAATGACAATTCTAAGAATGCCTGCCTCATTTGAACATAAACACTTGTTGAAAAAATAATAAACGTTTAAGAAGCTTTTATGCAACTCAAAATTATTTAATCCTAGTGTGACAGGTTTCCCCTGGGGTGCCACCTGGAAGTGGGGTACCACTGAGCCCTCTGACCCACGAGCCTGGGCTCCCTCTCACACTGTGCTGCTGTGATAAGCTGCAGACACGCTCCTGGTCTTACACTTGCACCAGCATACACACATGTAGGGACACACCCAGCTGAAGTTACATGCAGGATCTCTGACTAGCCACTGAACGAACCAACAGTAGAAAGGCTAAAGCCAAGGTAACTCTCAGCTCTCCAGGCATGTGCTCCCTCTAAAGCATAAACCCAAAATTATATTGTTTTGAGCTGCACAGGGAACTGTATAGCGTAAGCTCATAGAGTTCGCCCCCTCCCCTCCCTGTGTGGAGAGGAATATGCAACAGCTTCTCTGAGCTAAGATTCCCAGGCACTTTAGTCCAAAATTTCTGGTTTAGATTAAAACATAAATTTTATTAATTACAAAAGATAGCTTTTAAGTGATTGAGTGATAGCAAACAGATCAAAGCAGATTACCTGGCAAATAAACAAAAACATAACCTAAGCTTAATATACAGTACTAGATAGATTGGATATGAATAGCAGATGGTACAGGCAGACTTGTAGATTCTTAAGGCACAAGCTGCATTAGCTTTACAACTTGGGTTTCTCAGGTCTTCATACACAGGCTAGAAATCCCTTTAGTCTGGGTCGAGCACTTCCTCCAGTTCAGTCTTTGTTCCTCAGGTATTTCCAGGAGTCTTCTTGTGTGGGGAGTGAAGAACACCAGATGATGTCACTCTCTGCCTTACATAGCTTTAGCATATGGCAGAAACCCTTTGTTTCAAAACTTGGTTTGTGGAAAAATACTGACATCCCAAGATGGAGTCCAGAGACATGTGGTCTGGTCACATGACCTTGCATATCTTGCTGAGTTATAGCAGCCATTACTTACAGGCTGTCTGGAATGTTCACAGGAAGGTTAAGTTTTTTCACGGTCCATTGTCTTTGCTGATGGGCCATCAGCACTGTCTGGCTTCTTCGTTGTTGTACCAGAAAGGCTAGTTGTGGGTGTCCCCCAGAGTAAGCACAATTGAAATACAGATACATAGTCAATATTCCTAACTTTAGATACAAAAATGATACATGCATACAAATAAGATAATCATATTCAGCAAGTCATAACTTTTCCAATGACCTCTCACATGACCCATCTTGCACAAAATACATCATAATTATGCTATGATCATATAATATCACTATGAAGAATATGGGGTGCAGTGTCACACCTACCTCATGTTTCTTTTTAAGATCTGAGCTGGCAAAGCCTACCAGTGCTTTGTTGGTAATCAGGATCCTTTCAAGTTTAGTTATTAACTAGAGTTCTTACAGTATGGGGGCATATAAGAGAGTAGACCAGATCATATGGAGGTTTCCACAGCCATCCTGTCAGCACGGAGCAGGGTGACTTATGGTTTGGGGAGTTCGCAGAACACACTAGCATACTGTACTACTCACCCTCACAGCACCATTTGTGTTGCCAAAAGCAACATATGCCTGGGTGGAGTAGGAAGAGGGAGAGGCCTAGCTACATGCTGCCCCTTGGGTCATGGTGACACTAGCAGTGATGTTAGCTGCTCCACTTACTGCACTAGGTTGGAATCCTGGCCAGCTGTTGTGCATGGATGCAGTAGGAGCGAAGAGAGAATCATTGGGCCTTTGTCCCATGCAGGATTTTGCCACAGTGAGGGAGCAAGAATTGTTATGCATCCTTAGAAAACAAATGTCTGTCTATGAATGAGCTGCTCTTCAGACACATGCCAAAATGCAGGTGGGGGCTTTCCATCAAAGACGTAGGCTAAGATTGATATGTATTTCTGTTATTGTTAATACAAGCTTGAATTTCCATAGGTATGCATGAAATATGATCTTTCAGTGGGTCTTACAAAAATCACAGTGCTGATTAAAATTACTTCAGAAACTGTGCCTTCTTAATCGACAGGACCACTCTGTGTACGTGAAGTCAAGGTTTTAGTATTCAGGTTGTATATGTGAGAATTGGGCAGCTTGTACTGATCAGAGTGTTCCTTGTACATCTTCAAGAGAGTTTAAGGGCCAGTTCCCCACACCCCTGCACAAATGTATGGAAGACAATTGGGGTTCTGCAGCTGTAAATAATAGTATAAGTTGGCTTGATTAACTTTCATTCTGGTGATGGGAGAGGAGGAAAGGACCTAACTTGACTTGCTGACTCCAGCTTGAGTTTGTAGGCCTGGCATTTGAAAGTTGGAAATTACATCTCTTTCCTTCGCAGATAATCATATATTTGCTGGATATGGGGAAGTTGAAAAAAGCTCACCATGCCATTTAAATATCACTCTTCAGAATACCATGGCACCTACACCTCTATTAAAGTTATTAGGAGTTCTACCCCTGAATTCAGTGGAAGCAAGAACAAGCACATCATTTGTTCCTTTTTCAACTGTCTAAGCAGCTGATGTTGAGCAGTAGCTGAAGTCTCACCAGCAGTGTAACAGCTGCTTGTTTGATTTGGTGCGTTTGCTCCTGCTGCTAAAAGCTCAAACTCCGAACTTCCTTGTTTTTTATGTTATGCTCTAACTATTTAAATGGTCCCAAATGACTTCTTTGCTGTTGGGTTTCCCTTTCAGAGTCTGTTTAGAAACTTCCTTCTGCCTTCAAATCTTAATGTCTTCTGTTGGAGATTCACTCAGATAGAAACATCTCTTTTTTCAGAAGTCCACTCTTCAGGGACTAATTATGGTGATGATCCGTTAGCTCTTTGTATACACACCTCTATTCCTAGATTTTTTTTCTCTCATTTTCAATTATCGCAGCCTTCTGTTCCACTAACATATAAAGGATCTGAAAACAAACTGTCCTTCTCCCCAGATTTTTTAAAAATGTATGTAGAAGAGGAATAATCTTACTAAGTATAACTTCAATATAAAGCTGCAGTCGCCTTCACTTATTTGTTTTCTCCACTGAGCTTGGTATCTAAACACAGCCTTACAAAGGTGCTGTCTCCCCTAAAGGCAAAAAGAAACCTGTAATGTGTAAATTAACACACCTTGGAGACAAATTGTTCAAGTTTATGCACCAGTAACTGAAGCGTCAAGTATTTTCATGCATCATGTTCAAATTCAGGAAAACAGTCTAATGCTTGCATATACTGAAGGCATACACAAAAGCAATTGTGTGTAAATGACACTTAATTTGGAAATAGTTATGTTCGCTTAGCAGTACAGCAACACCACCATTCTCATTTGCAGTGTATCAGTCAACTTCTGCGTAGCAGTAGAAAGTCCAAAAGGAGTGGTTCTTGTTGGTGGATAATGTAAAAAGAGGTCTGATTTGTTTTCAAAGAGGTTCTTGTTGCCAAATATAGACTCACAGAAATGTAGGACTAGAAGTCATCTAGTCCCGTCCCTGTCATTGAGGCATGAGTAAGTCTAAGATTTTGTCATGGTTATTTTTAGTCAAAGCCAGGGACAGGTCATGGGCAATAAACAAAAATTCACAGGAGCCCATGACCCGTCCCACTTTCACTTAAAAATAACGGGGGGGGGCTTCTTGTGGTTCCAAGGGCCTCTTCCAGCAGCCAGAGATCGCCAGGAACAGAGACCTCCTAGCCATGACCCTTTTTCTTTGGAATGCTTTCTGAGCTAGGGTTTGAGAGATGAAATATAGGAAGTACCCCTGGATCATCTATGTGTTACCCCATGCAAGGGGAAATTCGGGAACCAGGCCCTGGGTATGAATTGGCGGGGGCGGTGCTCTTAAAAATATTTCTGGACTTACTTAGGTACATTACTGGTTTTAGTAAATGTGATTGATGGTAAAGATGTAATTTACAGATTATATTGCTCCATGCAGTCACTTCTAAACAACATTCCTCAGCTTTAACTTATATAAATGCTTACTTACTATGACCCTATTCTGATCCACTGCAAGCTCCCATGAGGCCTTCAGTAAACACTGAAATATGGAGAGTGCAAGGGGCCTTGTGAGGTTGAGACTACACTTCTTAATACAGCGGTTCTCAAACTGGGTCAGGACCCCAAGTGGGTTGCAACCCCATTTTAATGGGGTCTCCAGGGCTGGTGTTAGACTTGCTGGGGCCTAGGGCTGAAACCAAAGCCCGAGCCCCCACTGCCCGGGGCTGAAGCCCATGGACTTCTCAGCCCTGGGTGGCAGTGCTTGGGCTTTGGCTTCAGCCCTGGGTGGCAGGACTGAGACTACAGGCCCCCTGCCCAAGGCTGAAGCCCTTGGACTTTGGCTTTGCCGCCCCACCCCCACCTCTACCTGGTGTGGTGGAGCTCGGGCTTCATTTTTGACACACACCAGGGCAGCGGGACTCAGGCGGCCTCAGGGTTCAGTCCCCCCTCCTGGGGTCGTGTAGTAATTTTTGTTGTCAGAAAGGGGTTGCGGTGCAATGAAGTTTGAGAGCCTCTGATAATCCTTGCTTTTATGAACAGGGCCTGTGGATTCAAAGTCTGCAGTGCTCAATGGGCCATTCCACTTAGTGAGTACAGCCAGCTGGGAAGAGTGAAGCTTTTTGGCAGTTACAGAAGTAGATGTGGCAAGGTGGGTGTGTGCATTTTGAAGAGAAGGAGCTGTGCAGAAGAGGCCTTGCACTGGCAGCCAAAGAGGTGCCAAGCTAATCAGGGTGATTCCACTTGATGTCAGTATAATTTGTGGAGAATTAATATACTTGTTATGAGGAATCCTATATAATGGGCTATGCCTGTAACGTTTTATCCAACCCCCAATTCTGCTCCAATTTATATTTTGGTTGAGTGGATATAACAGAAACCAAGGATGGTTCATATCCAGTTCCATAAAACCAAAACCTGGTGACCAAGGTTTTTCAAGCCCTACATGCAGCATGCTTAACCCATCTCATTGTAAAGGTTCAAGCATAGGGGAGGGTCTTACACAAGAATGTAATGAGTAAGGCTTAACCCTTGACGCATGTTGGGGACACAAT